TCAAAGGCCAATTGTTCTCAGGTAAACCTTGCCTAGACATATATTTCTTGATCTGGTATGTATAATTTGTCAGTAGGTTGTTGGGCTAATATGGTTCCCTCTGGTTTTTAAAACTACCTAGGCATTATTTATCTCTCACATTGTCTCACCCCTCCATCATGGTTTTCCCACTTATGGTGCCCCTATTTCCCCCCTTTCTCAATACCCTTTACCCTTCTCCTATGGTCCTACCTCTCTTGAGCTCCTTCTTTCCCTTTATCCCCTAGGTTCCTTGTACACCCTTCCTTCCCCCCCTCCCTTAAACTAACCCAGTTTTTATCCATATGTCCCTTATTAAGGCCTGTTTCCTCCTGTTCTTCTCTTTCGGGTTCTTTCTTTTCCTTTACCTCCGTTTCCTTTCCATTATCCTGGTTCCTGTAGTTATGTCTGGATACGTACTCACTTTTCAGGGTTTGGTTCTAGGATCCACATATGAGGGAGAACATATGTTTCTCCAGCCCCAGTTGAGATATTTTTTTCAAAATATATTTTCGGGCCTGGAGAGATGGCTCAGTGTTCCTCTATTTTTTAAGGCCTGTCAAGTTTAATTTATGTTCCCCAAATGCTCTTTGGGTGTAGGTGTATCCCCTGGAATGTGGTCAAACTATCTTTCATCGTGCCTTTAGAAACTGATTATGCTTCTTCCAGCAGCTATCAATTGCCAGGAGTTCCTCAGGTAGGACTGGAGCTTCTTGCCCACTTCCCCCATCCGTGCTGGGTTTTTGTCTGGCTTGGGCTTACACAGGTCTTGTACATCTGTCACCAGCACTGTCGGTTCATATGTGCAACTGCCCTATTGTGCCCAGAAAACAGTATACTTCTGTTCATCCACCAACCATTGGTCTACCAACAGCCTTTCTAACCCCTCTCCACAGTGATCTGTGGGCCTTGGGAGGAGGACAGGGTGTGATATAGGTGTCCCATTTAGGGATAAGATCCACAATCTCTTATTCTCTGCACATTAACAAGTTGTAGGTCTCTGTATTAATCACCATCTGCTTCAAGAAGAGACTTCTAGTGAGAGTTGAGAGATGCATTAACCTATGGGTTTAATACTATGTCTATTTAGCAGAATAATAATAGTAGATTCTCACTTATGGCCTGTGACCTGTCTAGCCACAGGGGTTCTTGGCCCTGATAACAGTGCCAGGTATGGACTTTATCTTGTGAAGTGGACCTTAAATTCAATTAGAAACTTGTTTGTTACTCCCATAACATTCATGCCACTATTGCACCAGTGGGCGTATCTTGCCAGACCAGTCAGTGTAGCTCACAGAGTTCATGTTGATGATTACTTTTCTTTTCTGGTAACATGCCTAGATAACACCTTTCAGTATTATGAAAGTTATCCAGTGGAGTTGAATCTTCAAGGTTAATACCAGCCTGATTTCTCCATGTTTGTTCTATGACTTACATGTAGTGCCTTTAGTAATAGGGTCTTACCATCAAGTTCTGGCAGGTAGCATTGACAGTAATCAGTATTGTCTGTGGGATGCCCTTGGTCACCAACTCCAAAAGCCCATTCCTGGCATTGGGCTTTTTCTTTGCTAGCCTATGGTTTTGGTAGGGGCATTGTCCTCCTCCTGTTATAGGGCACCTCCATTTAAATTTTTTATATCTCATATATATATTTTAAGAAGCTTCCATAGTAGTAGATTTCCATATGACTTTTTCAACAAAGCTTCCATACTTCCTTCTCTACTCTGCCCTCCCATTCCCCATCCCATTTCATCCTCTTCCATTATTCCCCTTTCTCCTTCTATATCACTGCATTCTGTCTTCCCTCCCATAAAGCCCCCCACCATGACCCCTTAATAGATTCCTGATCTCTATGGATTTTCTAATTGAAACATACATATCTAAAGATTCAAAGTTGGCATCCACAGATGAGACAGAACGTGCTACACTCATCTTTCTGTGTCTGGGTTACCTCAGTTTCCACTTGCATTCATTTACCTGTGAATTTCACAGTTTTGTTTTTCTTAACTGTGGTATCATATTCCATTGTGTAAATGTACCCTATTTTCATTATCCATTCATCAGTTAATGGATATCTAGGTTGTTTCCATTTTTGGCTTTTGCGAATAGAGCAACAATGAACATGGATGAGTTATATCCATAGGAGGATATAGAGTCCTTTGGGTGTATGCCTAAGAGTGATGTGGCTGAATCATATGGTAGATGTATTTCTAGCTTATTGAGGAACCTCCATGCCGATTTCCATAGTGGCTACACCAGTTTCCATTCCCACCAGCAGTGAATAAGTGTTCCCCTGACCCCACATCCTCCCCAGCATTTGTCATTGTTTGTTTTTTGGATCTTAGTCATTTTGACTTGGATAATCTCAAAGTAATTTTACTTTACATTTCCTTGATGGCTAAAGATATTGAGCATTTTAGAAGATATTTCACAGCCATTTGTATTTCATCTTTTGAGAACTCTGTTTAGTTCTGTATCTCAATTTTTAATTGGGTTGTTTATTTTTTATTTTAGTTCTTTGTATATTCTAGATACTAAACCTCTGTCAGAGGTATAGCTGGTAAAGATGTTTTTCCCCATTACATAGGCTACCCCTTTACTCAATTCACTCAAATGATATTTTTGTTTGTTTATTTTGTCTTATTTATTTTATTTTATTTTATTTATTTTATCTGAGACAGGGTCTCACTATGTAACTCTAGCTGGCCTGGAACTTTCTATGTAGTCCAGGCTGGCCTTCAACACCCAGAGATCCACCCACTTCTGCTTCTTAAAGGTATGCACTATCACAAAACACATTCCTTGGTATGCAGAACACAAAGGACACTAGCTAGAGACACAACCTAGAGTCTTGTATTCCATAAAGTATGTGGGAGTGCTAGGTTTAGGCCTTGTCTGTTGCCTACATGTGATTAAAAATGCTTAATATAAAGGGATTCCTGAAGTATATGCAAATAATCTTTATGCATGCCAGTCCTAACCTATATATATGTGTGTTTCTTGGAGGGGATTTTTCATCATACCTGCAAGGTGTCCTATGACCCCCACCAAAACTAAAATCCTCTGGTATTAGGTGGATTTAAAGACGCTTAATCACATGAAAAAAGCTCTTTCCCACTCTTTTTCCTTAGTTTTCTATGTAGGCATTCTTCCAGGTACAGTAAACTTTGCATAACACAAGATGTTTTTTGAAGTTCTGCATCATTTGTGTGAAGAATTGTGTCTTTTTGAAGTTAGTAAAATTTTAATTCACAGGCTGGGATTTTAAGAGATCGATGACTACTTTTTAAACTTTTTTTTTCCAGCTAATTGAGTCTTCTTTTTCTTCTAATTTTCCTAAACTTTTATTAATTTTCTGTTTTCTTTTTGTTTTACTTTTTTTGGATGCTGGAGAGCTAATGTTAAGTGAAATAAGCCAAATGCTCAGAAAGACAAATGCTACATGTTTTTCCTTGTATTAATCTAGATATTATCCCTATATGTATTATATAATCTAGATATTACAAATAATCCAGATATATATACATATATATGAATGATATGAAAGTAGAAGAGAACTATGTGGTGGGGGAATCTAAAGGGAAACAGGGTAAAAAGAGGGTAATTGGGGAGGGGAGGCAAATATCACATTCACTCCCACAGATACAGATGTAGATATGAATGAAAGCAGAAGAGGGGCTAGAAGTAGGAAGGGGACCAGCAAGAGCAGGAAAGGGGAACACTGGGAAAAGGAGCAGGTATGGTAAGCAAGGTATGATAGTCTGTGTGAAAGAAAATTTCATAATGAAACCCAGTATTTTATACATTAACTAAAAATAGTATTGCTAGGCTGGAGAGATGGCTCAGCAGTTAAGAGCAGTGGCTGTTCTTGCAGAGGACCAAGGTTTGATTCCTAGCACTCACATGGTGACTAACACCCATCTGTAACTCCAGTTCCAAGGGATCTGATGCCCTTTTCTGGCCTCCACAGGCATTGCACACATGATGTACTTACATCCATGCAGTTTATATAATTTTGATTTTTTTAAACAATATTGCTACTAAATGGTAAGGATCAAGGACAAAGAGTAGATTAGGTAACATGGGAGATATTTGTAAAGGAACAAGGAGACAAGGACAAGAGGTTAATGAAGTCAAAGAAATTCGCACTGACAGGGAGGTAAGCCACTATCACAAAGTCTTGGCTTAATGTTGGTTCAGGTGGCAGCCAGGAGTTTGGTCTGGACCTTGATGTCTTTATGTGGTATTGCAGCAGAATGGTCTGAGTTTCTCACAGCTTTAACACTGTTCAGATTTGCTCAGTATCAAAGAGTTGGAGAGGGTGAGCGAAGATGAGGTATCCTAAAATCCTAGCTCCACTAAGGATTTTAACAGACTTACCGAGGTCTGACAATGGTCAAATCTTAGCAAGACTGTCCCAGAGAACACATACCACCCGCAAAAGTTAAGTTTCACATGTCTAAATCAATCTTCTTTGTTTTTCTTGCAAAAATCTTAAAACACTCAGCATGTAAATTAACAGAAAAAGTATAATTTAAATCACAGTAATCAACAACTCAGAGGTATTTCCATTACCATGTGTAAATCTTTTTACAGGTTACCTAGGATGGTTTTAAGTCTGGTCAACCTACAAGGACCTACACCAGTATAGAAAACTGACACTCTTTCACGGCAGCTATCAGTTGCTAATAGATCCTCAGCTAGGACTGGGGCTTCTTGCTAAACTCTCTCATCCTTGCTATATATTTTTTCTGGCTTGGGTTTGTACAGGTCTTGTGCATACTCAGACAGATTTTTTTTTTAATGCCCAAAGATAAACTTTTTGTAGTCAAAAAAATAGAATCAGCCAAGTATGGTGGCACACGCCTTTAATCCCAGCACTCCAGAGGCAGAGGCAGACAGATCTCTGTGAGATTGAGGCCAGGCTGGTCTGTATCACTACATCACAGGCCAACTGGGGCTACAGAGAGACTCTGTCTCAAACAAAAATAAAAAAACACATAAAAATATAATCAGATGTTTCATAATTATAAAAATTAGTTTGGACCACATAACAATAAATAACTTTTTATTTTTATCTTCTGACAAACACCAAAACAGAGGAGTATTTAGATGATATGATTAAGAATAAATTATACTTTTCCTGAAATGTTAGAGAGTATTTAAACTGTTAGACCTTCTATCTTTATATAAGGGAACCTCAGGAAACTTCCAAAGCCCCAGATAGTCTCTTCATTAAGATGGAAATTCTGAGTTTGCTGTTCACTGCAGTTTTTCTTTGGGGTAATGAGTGGGACAGGTGGTGGTGGGAGAAGGGGAAGGCAGTCATGCACCGTGATGGAGGCTGTGTTAGGTGACCTTGTCTCGCTTGGAATTGCAAAATATGACTTAATGTTGCTTCTATGTCCTTGACAGGCTTTGGACTTCTTGTTGCTGATATTTGCAGCCACAGTAGTAGTGTGGGCAGACCATGAAGCCCCACTCCTCCTTGGCCTCAGTGCCAGTTGGTTGTCATGGCATCAGGAGAATGACCCTAGTGGGCTAGCATCTGCCTTCCTTGGCAGCAGTCCAATGCACAGGGTCACCCTGCAGGAGGTTCTCACCCTCCTTCCCGGTAGCATGCTGCTGCTGCTGCAAAAAGAACCATGGAAGGAACAGACCCAGAAGGTGAGAGGTGGCAACTACCTGCCTGGTAGGGCAGGCGGGCTCAGGATAACTATTGACGAGAAACACAACAGTGACAGCAACAACAACATGCTTACACTTAGGGGATGGCTGGAGAGAAAGCCCATGCCTTCATTCATTTTAGATCAGAATCTCAAAGTCAGGACGTAAAGGAAGTCAAATTCAACGTTCAGGATGGTATAATATGTGGGATACAAGGTGGGAAGCAAGGAGTGGGTTGTAGGCAGTGCCTGTGGGGTGGCTCATTGAACATTCCAGAGGACATGTTAATCTAGAGCAGCATAGTAAAGATTCCCTGTGCTCATTCGGTTGCACAGACCTGCTCCGTGTACCTGGCATAACCCTGGTAGATGCCAAATGGGGTTTTGTTAAAGCCTCTGTCATCACCGTTATCCTCAGAAAAGCCCATGCTGTAAGTAATATCATTAATTTTTTTTATTTTATGTGAGTACGTGTATTGCCTGCATGCATGTAAGTGCACCCGTGTTGTGCAATGCCCAAGGAGATCAGAAGAGGGTATCGAATCACCTGGAACTTGAACTACAGATAGTTGTTAGCCACCATGTGGGCGCTAAGAACCGAACCTAGTTCTTCTGCAAGAGCAGTCAGTGCTCTTAACCTCTGACCCATCTCTCCAGCCCCAGAAATATCTTGATTTTTAATACTTCCCCAAAGCATGTGAAGATACTGTTTTCTGTAATTTGAATTACCTGGCTTTGCTCTATCTGTAATACAGCTGATTAGAAGATTTTTTTTGAATCCCGTTTAATCAAAAATGGATTTTTAAGAAGTTGAAAGCTTAAAACTAGTAATTTGTTGTTTATTCTTAAGATAGGAACATTAATCTTTAAAAACATTTCTGAACTGTGAACCCAGTTTTAGCTCTGCCTAACCCCACTGAGTATCTCAGTGGGAAATACTTTTTCCCTTAACTCTGAGAAGCATTAATAGTACTGGCCCCAAGTTTTTTATTTTATGCCCTACTTTTAACCAAAATAAATTGAAATGTGGTCCCCTCTGTTATTTTGGACCACAGGATACACATCTTGCATTGATTATGTATTTGCAGTGACTAATTTATTTACCAGTAAGTTATAAACCAAATTGAGGAAGGAAAATTAAAAAAATTAATTAAAACAGAAAAATAGGAAATTTTCTTCACTTTTTCAACCCAGCTTCTCATATCTGAAGTTAAAACACTCAACACCTGTCAATGATTGCTTGTGTTTTGTAGTAAGGCAAGATGAGTAGCATTCAGTCTTCAATGAAATCACCATAAATGCAACTCAGAAAAAATTTTGGCTGTTTCCTGGGAAATCAAACTCATGAGTGAGATGAGTTCTCATATGCAGGATTTATTCACAGTCAGCAGGCTTTACTCTCTTAAATTATTTTATGCTTCAGAGCTACAGAAGTGGCTCAGTGATTAAGACCACTGGCTGCTCTTTCAAAAGGACCTGGGTTAGTTCCCAGCATTTATATAGCAGTTCAAAACCATCTGTAACTCCAGTTCCAGGGAATCTGATGCCTTCTTCTGTCCTCTATGGTCACTGCATGACAGAGGAGCAATTACATACATGCAAGCAATTCAATCATACACATAAAAAAAATTTTTTTAAGCTTAAAAGGGCTGGAGAGATGGCTCTGTAGTTAAGGGCTCTAGCTGTTCTTGCAGAGGACCTGGGTTTGATTCCCAGCACCCACATGGCAGTTAACAACCATCTATAACTCTAGTTCCAGGGGAATCCAATGCCCTTTTCTGATCTCTTCAGGCATTGCACAACACAGAAGCACTTAAAAACAAGGAGAGGACCAGCTCTGCAAGTTGTTTTCTGACTTTCACAAGAATAAATAAATAAATAAATAAATAAATAAATAAATAAATATTTTTAAAAGCTTTAAAAATTATTCTATGCTTCTTGCATTCTATTTCATATTCATTTGGGCACAAACTGTTCTCATCTTAGTTTCAGAACAGGCTGTGTAGTGGTTTCCCTATTTTTTTACCCAGCTTCTGAACCTAGGCCAAAATGCATATGGAACCAGTGGGAGGCAGCATGATGCAAAGACAACACTTGGGACTTTGCAGACAGGTGTAGTTGGGTTCAAATCTCTCAGGATTCCAAGAGACTGGACATGGGCAAGGCTTCTAACCTCCCTGAGCATCTCAGAATGACTAGCAATAATGTTTGGGGTACACAGAAACCCCTTGGAGCCATGATACCATGTTCTGTCTATACCAGGCCTCAATGTTTTCATTAGGGAAGTGAATTTGACTTTTTGAGTTCCTTTGATTTGGGGGGCTGTGTTTCTATCTCATCTTTAGTCCCTGTCTCATCTCTGCTTCCCCACCCCTATATCTTGTTCTTACTCTGTCTCATTTCTACTTCTCCAACCCAGGCAGGAATTGCACTTTTACTCATGTGTGTAGGCCCAAGAGACTGATTCAGCTTATGCTGATAGTGGGATTTTCTTATGGACAATGTTCTTTTCCCCCCTAGTTCATTGACTGGCTATTAAGCATCCTGGAAAATCCTAAAGGATCCTTCTCTGCAAAGTCAAAGGATGTTTTGAAAGGTATTATATCCTAGTTTGCATCTCTGTTGCTATGATAAAACACTGACTTAAAACAACTTGGGGAAGAAAGGGTTTATTTCATCTTACTCTTCCAAGTGACAGTCCATCACCAAAGGAAGCCTGGGTAGGAATCTGGAGGCAGAAGCTGAAGCAGAGACCGTGGAGGTGTACTGCTTACTGGCTTGCTCCCCTGGCCTGTTCTTATACAACACAGGGCCACCTGCCCAGGTGTGGCTCTGCCCACAGTGGGCTGGGCCCTCACACATCACTCAACATTCAAGAAAACGCCTCACAGACCTGGTCAGAGTCCAGTCTGATAGAAGAAATTCCCCAACTAATGTTCTTTCTTACCAGGTATGTCAAGTTGACATGTTACTTAATGCTTTATGTCCAGGATAAGTGAATACCATGCATTGTTGTCTGTGATATGAAATAGAACACTCTAGTACATTGGTTTCAGAAAGGATCCTTAATGTGTCACTCTGAGCCAAAAAATAATGGGTTATAAAGGAGTTTCAGTGCCTTTAAATTTAACTTTTAGATATTCAATATTTTATTTAAAACTTGCAAAGTTCAAAACAGTAAAAATACAACAGTCAGAAATCCAGAGTCCCATTGCCCAGAGATATTTTTGATAATTTCTATAAGGTTTTTTGATAATTTCCATAAGGTTTCCCCCCCCATTCTGTATATGAGTACTCTTTTACATATTTAAAATGTGAAACAATTGAAAAGTACACATAGACAAATTGAATTTTATTTTACCATTATTTTTAAATTGCCAAGTGTGTCCTTACATGAGCTTCTAGCTGCTTAGTGTTTTGCTGAGGGATCTAGGGTTTCCTACACTATCAGGCATTCAGTGAATTTTCACTCATTTATACTTCTCCACTGACTTTGAAACACTATGACGGAGGGACCCAAAACATGGAAGAGCTTTCAGAAAGTGTTGTAGATTTTTTTCCTCCAACATGAGAACTCATTTGGCCATTTGTCATCTGTGTCTTGGGACTTGAGGGTCTGGAGGCAGTGCACATGCTGATGTTCTTAAAGTGCCATTCCCATTGGCCGCTGTGATTATTTATCTAGCCTGGAATTTGTATGACTCATTCTGCTTTTAGTATGGTCTAATTTTAATTTTTAAACAAGCAGGATTTCCAATCCTTCTACCTATCCCTGAGAGAGTGAGAAGCATATGGTTGATGATTCTCATACAACACAGAACTTCATTGGCAATCAGGCTGTGATTGGAGACAGTTTCACTGTATCTATCCCTAAAGATTTGCTGATAGGACTCCCTCTGTTTGTGTGTTTGGTCACAGGTCCATGATAACATTGGTTGCTCCAAACACACAGTTAGGCCACAAAATTAACAGCTGATACCAATGAAGAAAACAACAACTTAGTTTAAGCCCATGTTCCCTTAATTATGTAGTCTTTGGGTTACTGGAGGGGCCTTGATTCCCTACATTCGTCCATATTCTCATATTTTAAATAGCATCTCAATGTATTTATATTAATACTCTAGAATAAGATATAGATAGTAATCTCTGATATATTACATTTATACTATATATAAGATATAAAGTAATTATTCAAAATTTCTGTACTTTAAATTGCTCCCTTGGTGACCCATGACAGAACAGGGAATATATATATATAGATTATGGATACATGTCCAAGTAAAATTTAGTACAGTTATAGTTGCTTCATTGATCACATGAGCTTAACTTGGTTATAGGAGTGACATTTTTTTCTTTAAACACTGAATGGAATTATTCATAGTCAAGTAGAAAAGAACACAAATCTAAAATCTACTTTTACACAGGGGAGTCACTCATGTAATTAGTAATGACATTAAGAAAAACAATACTTCTAGCATCCCAAATATCAGTAATTCTGCAGAATTTCCTATTAACTGATTATAGAATAACTTCAAAGAAAGAAAAGGGGGTGGCTAACAAGCTGCCTTCCCAACCTGTAAAAAGTATTTTTTTTCTTTTGCCATTAAAATTCTGCCAAGATTTGATGGGAATTCTTAGTCTTGAAGATTAGCCAAGTGAGAAAGTACCAAGCTCTGTTCAGACACCTTTTTGGTCAACATGACTTTTTCAAATATAGTTCCCCTCAAATGCAATAGTACACTCTGGTTTTCTTATGTCCTCTTAGCTACCCTGCTGTCCTTGAGAGTTCTCCCAGAGTTTAAGAAGAAAGCCACATGGACCAGAGCATATGGTTGGTGAAGTTTACAAGGAACCGACACATTCTATGCTGAATAAGGCAGACTGTAGAAGTGGCGGATTCATATTTGAGATTGGTGAGACGTTGATCCTCGCAGTCAAAGGTCATGACAAGGTGGTCACATACTGACAGTTCGACCTGTACAGGAGAAGGGTGTGCTGCTTTGGTACTCATGTCATTTGAAACTGAAGCAGGAACATGACTTTGATTTGGCCAGAGTTCTTTGTGAGCATTTTTTTTTTCTTTGTGAAAACTGTCTTCTCTTCTTTGAATTATAGTAAAATAATCTTGTGAATTTTGTGCAATGTGACTTTTATTTTTAAGTATATGGGAAGGTTTTGTCAGCGAAAGGAAATCATAATGGTGACAATAGTATTGGAATCTATTGTTCATGAAGCCTCAAAGAAGATGGTCACTGACTCAGTGATTTAGACAACCTTTATTCCTGTTGCTAAAACACACACTTGGAACTGCTACACACATTCAAATTAATAGGCATGATATTGAATAAACCAGATTCATTAATGATGGTATAATTTCTGTGCTTTGCTGTCTGAATGCATGTAAAAGTTATCCAAACCAAGAAATTTAAGGGTGGATCTGATGAGCCCTGTGATGCTGTGAGACTTTGTCCCTCCGGAGATCATTCCACATAATTGGCAAGATGGCTGCCAACCTCAAAGGTAAAGGTTCCTTTCCCCATCGGCCTGGCAGAAGCAATATGGCAAGGACAGCAGTTAGGCAGGGTCACTTGTAAGTCTTTAAACAAGTGTTTGGTCACCCTAGCATGTGGCCTATACTCACAGACCAGGCCTGAATCGTGTGTCTAGTCAGGTCTTGGGCTGAGATGAGCAGAGGCAGCCCAAAGCAGACCATCTGAACTGTTTCCCCAGAAGAAAGATGACAGGCTAAAAGGATAAATACCTCCTCTAAAGACTGATCTTTTTGTAAGTACAGCTTTCTTCATCAAAGTAATTAGTAACCTAAAGGTTTGTGACAGTATCCAAGTTTCATTTAGCTCAATGGCTGGAGACTCAGCCAACGTTTTACTTTTTTTATTATTTTTATTTTATGTGTAGGAGTGTATTGCCTGAATGTATGTAAGTGTACCCATGTTGTACAGTGCCCACAGAGGTCAGAAGTGTGGGGGGGGGTCAGATCCCCTGGAACTGGAGTTATGGACAGTTGTTAGCCTCCATGTAGGTGCTGGGAATCAAACCCAGATCCCCTATAAGGACAGCTTAACCACTGAACCATCTCTGTAGTCCCATAGCCAATGTTTTAATTTTGATGCTTGCTAATTATTGTTACTTCACACACTCATCACCTGGGACTCTGTCTTTAGCCACTCATATAACTGTACTTATTATTTGGGATCATTAAAAAGAAAAATGATGCCTGTGAAGTAAGGTACCTTTGTATTGGTCACACCATAGCCACAGTACCTTGGGCCTCACAAAAGAACATCTAGTAATCTCATGTAGCAGGTACCTTCATGTTGTCACCAAATGTACCTGCTAGGTTAAAAATAACACCAATTTTATTTTCTAAATATGTAATTTCATTAGAGATTGGGCTATAGGGAAATGAATTTTAAGCCAAGAAGGTAGAAATTTTATACCAGCTTTTCTTCTCCTTCCGACACGCACCATTGTACGCTTTCTACCAATTAGAAATTGAGACTCAGCAAACATTTACTGTTAGGAGTCAGACCCTAAGCGCTCTAGATCTTTCCTTTGGATTAGCTTATTTAAGTCTTGCTGCAATACGTTAGGAAGCATTGTTTTCTATTTTAAAATAGAGTAAACATATCTAGTAAGTGATATAACTTTACCTAGAGTCAAAGATCCTAAAACCTAAGATCCATAGCTATTTCTACCACATCAGTTTCCTTAGTTCCCACTTTAAGATGCAGACCTCACCAAAGGTAAAATCTCATTTTTGCTTAATGTAGATTGGTGCAATCCAATAATAGAAACAACCCTCACGTGTGTATTAGGCTTTTGAATTGGAAAGTTAGTTTTTTTATGTATATGAGTGTATTGCCTGCATGCATATGGGCGCACCCATGTTGTACAATGCCCACAGAGAAAAGGGTGTCAGATTCCCTGGAACTGTAGTTACAGATGGTTGTTATCTGCCATGTGGGTGCTGGGATTCAAACCTTGGTCCTCTGCATAAACAACCAGTGCTCTTAACTGCTGAGCCATGTCTCCAGCCCCCTGAATTAGAAAGTTTGAGAACTATAGCATGGAAGAGCAGGTCTTTTTGCATGGGGTAATGGGCTTTCAATTCCAGATCACCTTGGGAACAGGAGGCAGGGAGTAATGAAGAGGAAATGGGTCCTGAAAACCTCTTTTTCAGGTTTGAATCAGCCACCACAGATTTCAGGGAGGAAGAATCTGCCTAGACTTCAGAATACAGATTTTTCTTTTTGTTTCAGCCCAGTTTCTTCTCAAGCCATATTTCTGTTTCTGTCTTTGAAAATAAGTCTGAAAATGGAAGGGGGGTGAGATACATCTCAATCTTCTCTTGTCTAGCTCTTCTATTTGTTTTGAGTGGTAATGAATGGAAGATTGATGGGATTTTTCTGTCACTTGAACCTCTAAAGATTCTAAATTGTAAATCTAAAGACTAAACAGCTCAAAGATATGTTATTGAAATAATAAGACCCTTCCTCTCAGTTACCTGTATGACCCTAAAAAATAAATTGTTCCCTCAAGATATTTCACTTTGGGAAAAGCCTCTTCTTTTTTTAGAGCAGATGTTCTTAACTATACACAAAAGGAAATTTTTCCTTACCAGTCCTCTTCTGTTAGTTTTTGAAAACACAAGTTGCCAAGACAAATAACATTTGGGGACACACAAAAAAATTAATGTGTGGGATTAAAGCCACATTATGTCTCTCAGAACTATCCAAATGCTCTTTCAGATGTTGGGATCTATACAAGCATCTAAAAATCTTTGTTCTATTAATAATGTAATGGCTCTATGGTAACTAAGAGTTTGCAAAAAAAATTAAAAAATATCAAGCTATAAGTTAACTTCTTTTGGAGTGGAAGTATTGGAGGTAGGGCTTTTAGAAAGTAAGTTTGAGGAGGGAACCTCGGTGAAGGGGATTGGTTCATTTATGGAAGGACCTGGGAGAGATGTTTCTTTCTCTACCGTGTGGGTATACAACAAGAAGACATCCATCTGTGACCTGCTGTCAAGAATCAGTTGTGACTTTGGAACCTCACTGGAAGCTCAGTTGGCTGCCATCTTGCTATTGGCCTTTCTGATTTCAAGAATCTCTCAACTTACAGCATTTTGTTACGGCAGTCAGGGAGAGAGTGGATACCACGTGGTGAGATGCTGCTGTAGCCACAATGTAAAAATGGAGAAGCAGCTTTTAAATTGCACAATTAATAGAAACTGGAAGAGTTTCGATGCTGACATCACTATTTAGGGGTTGATGGTAATGATTTTCATCAGAGCTGAGAAAGGAAAGACATCTGAAGAGGAAGCTCCCGTTTACTTAGGGAATACATCGTGATTAACCAGAAAAATCATGGTTGATAAGTTGCCCCTGTGCAATTTAGGAGGCTGCTCTGATAATCTGTGAGTCACTGTCAGCAGTATTCTTCTCTTGTCTTTAAGGACAGTAAATATTTACAGCCAAATAGCTCTAGGGTCCCATTCTGTCAAATCCAAGAAGTCCAACCATCTTTTCTCACTCTGTCCTATCTCCATTCCCTGCAGTTCAAACTTATGCAGCACTTTTAATGGGAGCGGCTCATTGGATCTGCAGTTCACATCTACACCAACCTCACTGAATTCACTAGCACCTTGCTTTTAAATGTCTGAGCCTCCAAAAATGTAAAGAGAATAAATTCCTATTGTTTGAACCATCCAATTTGGGGGCTTTGTGATACAGCATAGCAGCCTGAGCATAAGGCTTAGAAAGGTGTTTAGTTTTCTAAGTACATCTAATCTTCAAGGTTTTTAGTTCTTGGGGCAGTGCCATTTATCTATAAAGCATATTATTCTAGAATTAAAGAGCACATTTTACAGCATTCCCCCATATACATCTGCTATTTGTGAATACAGCAGTTATTTTGGCTTCTCAAGTCAATTGAATTTATTCCAGTTAATCTATTTTTCATTAACTTTACAGGAAAAAAAATACAATTCACACAGTACAGATGTAACTTGCATGAAATCCACAGCTCTGATGAAGCAGGGCGTATGAAGAGTATATGTTTAAAAATACAGTGAATGAACAACACAGACTGTTGTGAGGACTTCAGTAATTCATGTTACATATTTTTGTCAAGTAGGTGTTGTCCCACCATAATGTGTCCAGTGTTGTGTTGTATTTGCTGCAGCTTAATCTGAAAACCTGTCTTCTCTCTTATCCTGCTGGAATGCTGTTCCTCACATTTTCTTTTTTATGGAAAAGACTCTGAGGACATCTCTTCTTTCCATGTAAAGATGACTGTAGGTAAAATACATACCTAAAGTGAAGAATGAAGTGCAAAGTAAGGTTGGTTATCCTTTTTTTTTTTAAAGAATCGTTTTTTTTTAAGTGTTTGGATTTTTTTATTATTTAATAACCACATACTTAAAAGAAGCATTTCATTACAACAGCATTGACATATTCAATAACAATTTCCTGAGCTAAGATGCATTTCTTTTAAAATTTGCCGTAAATTTTTAGGTTTATAGTTGAATTATTACAGTTATACAATATTGTACTCAGCATATACCTTACTATAAGACATAAAATTAATGAGGTTTTAACCTTTAAAAAAGATCTCCATTTCATTTTAAAATATACTGTTTCATACAGGAAAAACTCATTTTTAATGCAACTAACACTTAGATGTTTGCACATGTGCCTCTAATCTCTACGTATCTGATTATTACTAGTCACAGTCTGTTAAACTCGGATCCTTGGCATCTGAGCATGGATATAAAGTCGTCAGGTAGATTTCAGTGGTAATGCTTTTATTAATAATGCAATTATTGAGAAAATATTTATGCTTTGAAGAATTATTATTTTTAATCATTTTTTAAAATTTTAATTTAATTTAGTTT